GACTAATACAATCAGAGTTATATTAAAAAATGTCCTGGCTCTTCCGAGCTTTATAATAGCAGTGAATGAGGGAGAATATGCTAGTCTCGTGAGAACCAAGTTTTGTTTATAGGCACAAAGGAAGCAAAGTTTCCTTTGTTTAGCAAAGAATCATTACCTCCACCAGTTTGGAGAAGAGGTACATGGAGATGGAGGTGCTCCTGTAAAAGAACATTGAGGTGCCAGCAAGAAAACCTGAAAAGATAAATGTAGAAAACGGTGATTTGAGAACCTCTAATGGCTGTGCAAAGGGAAAAGAGTTCAAAACACTCTTTACCTGCTATGAGAGCATGGAGCTCGTCGTCCAGGTTACGCATCCATCTCAGTAAACAGCTTGTGCCCTTTTTCATAAAATGGAAGGGAGATGGAGAGAGACATATTTCACAACTGAAAAAAACGTTACTGAGAAATGTGAAGAAAACAAAACCCCCCAAAAGCTTCAGAGGAACTTGCTATCTCGTAGAAAAAAAACAGCATTGCATCTTAGTGGAGATTTAGTACCTTGTATATACTGACAAAAGATCCCAAGAAAGCTCCTAGCTGGAAGTTTTCTTTGTTGTAGAGCAGCCAGAGCAGTCGAGAGGGTTTTGTAAAGGCCTGTCTGAACACTGATGGAACCTTCAAACAGCATTGAATGAGGTAACCCACGCTGAACATTCGGATGAAACCCTTCAAAAACACAAAGCATCTCAGAAGCTGCTCTCCAGAAAACATCTCACAACTTCACATCAACTGTCTGCTAGTGAGCAAAGGGCACTGCTATATCGACAGAGCCTTTAACCCAGATACACGCAACACGTTTATGCACACACATTCGGTCTCTCTCCGAACACAAATGCTCAGAACAAACAGATGAGTGGTTTGAAAGACAGCAGGTTAGGAGGTCTCAGACTCTTACTTTAACACAGTAGGAGATGCAGTTGTCTTGATAGTGTTTGCAACATCTATGCCTGGGTCCATGTTTGCATCTAAAGGGGACAACACACACACACAATGAATGCAAACAATGTGTTATGAGGCAGGGGAACATTCATGCATGAAAATGAAGCTGAATGTTAAACAAGCCGGACCGTAAATTAACTCCAAGTGTCAAATGAAAGTCAAACACCATTTTTACCTACTATTGTTGTATACATTTGGGGTCACAATTCTTTTAAAGAAATTAATACTTT